ACTTAGTCTCTCTTTCCACTTCAGTCACCTTGGCCTCCTCGTTCTTCTTGAACATGCCAGACATACACCCACCGTAGGCCTTTGCATGCATTGTTCCCTCTGCCAGGAAGAGCTCTTCTAGATATTTGTATGGCTAACACTCTTACCTCCTTCACATATTTGGTCAATGTCATCTTCTCAAGGAGGCCTAATAACTAATTTAAAATTGAAACCTACCTGCTGACTCCAAAGCCTCAATTACTCTGTTCAATACCGATTGGTATTTCCCATAATACCAATTTTTAACATACATATAGTAACACGAGATAGGTAGTGTTTGTTGTCTGTGCACCACTCTCCCGCCCCTGCTAGAAGGTAAGTTTTATGAGGACAGGGTTTTGATTCACTGAGGTATATCCCAAATGCCCACAACAGTGCTTGGTATGTAGTCGGCATTCAATAAATGTTTACTGAATGAACGAATGGTTTCATGACTAACTAATGGCTGAAACCCATTTTGAAAACCTAGTTTGAAAAATGCTGGTCTAGTGGCTAGACTCGGTCCTTAATTTTCTTCTTAGGGTGCTATATATAACAAACTTTTGGGGATAAATTAAATTTTTCATTTTTTGGTTTTCAATTAATTTTGTTCAGTTAGGTTTCAGAGTGCTTGTTGGAGTCACTCTAATAGTAACCTAAATGAAAACATAACAGCACTTTTCTGAAAGTACCCCTTGTGTTATATAACTCTGAAAACCAGTCATCCACTCTTAGCAATTTGTACTTCTAGGTTTTTTCCAAGTACAAACATATATTAAATCATACTATATACAGTGTTCTACAACTTGCATTTTTTTGTTTTTTGGATTTGTTTGGTGGGTTTTTGTTGTGGTAGTTATTTGTTTTGCACCTAATATTCTACCACAGACACTGTCCTGAGATGCAGTACAGCATGGTCAGTAAGAGCATGGATGCCAAGCCAGACTGGGTTCAAATCCCAGCTGTGCCGTTACCACACACTGGACAAGTTACTTAAGTTTTCTGTACCTGTTTTCTCATCCGTTAACATGTGAATAATAATAGTATCTACATCATACAATGTTCTGGAGGTCAAATGAGGCCTGGTACATGTGTGCATATAAGTGTTAGCTGTTTTTAGTATTACTTCATTGTTTATCACTGCTATGTAATATCTCGTGTTTTGAAAGTGTAACATTTCATTTAATCAGTCCCTTGCTTGATATATATTTAGGTTGTTTCTAATTCTTCTCTGTTACAAACAGTAATCATCAGGGGTGAGTGTGTTTTTGCACATTTGTATAGTTACTTTCATAAAATAAATACATAGACATAGACTTTCAAAGTCTAAAATATAAACTCTGTTGTACCAAGGTAAACTTGTGCCAACACGGTATCAGTATTTGTTTCTCCACACTGTTGCTGATGCTGAATATTATCAGGCTTAAGTATCTTTCTTTGTTGTCTTTCAGTATTTTATGATAGATGGACTAGTTTTCCCCCACCCCCACACCCTACTCAGTTTTATTTTATCTGAACTACATTGAGGTAGTGATCTCTTTTTTTCAAACTAGTTACTTCCAGTACCTCCCATCCCTTCCCTACTGATTGAAATGCGACCTTTGTGTCATGTACCAAATTCCCATATACACCTTGATCTCTTTCTAGACTTAATCTCTTCTATTGGCCTCTCTATTCCTATACAAGTACCATTGATTTTAATCACTGTACTTTATACCTTTTGATATATTAATAGCCCCACTACACACACTCAAGCATACACACATTGTTCCTCTTTTTTAGGAACAATTATTTTTCCAGGTAAATTTTAGAATAATTGTATGAGGTTTTAAAAGAATACCCACTGGGATTTTGTTTCAAAAAGTGTTAAAAGTATAGATTAATTTGGAATGAATTTGTATCTTTACAGTATTGAGGGTTAGAACTTAAAAATGTCTGTTCATTTATTCAGGGCTTTCATTTTTTTTATGTCTTACACATTTGTTATAAATACACGTGTATTCTATGTTTTGTGTTGCCATTTTGAGCATGCTTTTTTCTTAAATAGTTTATATACAATATTGATTACATGTCCCTGTAAGGTATTAACGTGTGTGTGTATACACACACACACGTCTTTTTTTTTTTTATTTATTTTTTTTATTGAGTTATTGATAGGTTACAATCTTGTGAAATTTCAGTTGTACATTAATGTTTGTCAGTCATGTTGTAGGTGCACCACTTCACCCTTTGTGCCCACCCCCCACCCCACCTTTCCCCTGGTATCCACTAAACTGTTCTTGGTCCATAGTTTTAAATTCCTCATATGAGTGGAGTCATATACAGATTATCTTTCTCTTGCTGGCTTACTTCACTTAACATAATTCTCTCAAGGTCCATCCATGTTATTGCAAATGGAATGATTTTGTTCTGTTTTGCAGCTGAGTAGTATTCCATTGTATATATGTACCACATCTTCTTTATCCATTCGTCTGTTGATGGGCACTTAGGTTGCTTCCATGTCTTGGCTATTGTAAACAGTGCTGCAATAAACATTGGGGTGCACAGGACTTTTGGGATTGCTGACTTCAGGCTCTTTGGATAAATACCCAGTAGTGGGATGGCTGGATTGTATGGTAGTTCTATTTTTAGTTTTTTGAGGAATCTCCATACTGTTTTCCATAGTGGCTGCACCAGTTTGCATTCCCACCAGCAGTGTATGAGGGTTCCTTTTTCTCCACAACCTCTCCAACATTTGTTGCTATTAGTTTTAGATATTTTTGTCATTCTAACGGGCACACACACGTCTTTTATCCACACACCCTTTTACATCTTTAATACTTCCCCAGTTCTCTTAGATTATCTAACCTTATAATCATATCTTATGCAAATAATAAATTTCATCCTCTTTTTATACCACTTGCTTCTTTTTTCTTAATTTGCTGTAGTGACTGAACTCTAGAATGATGTTGAGTAACAGTGATGATAGCAGGCCTCTTTGTTGCTCCTTTCTGAGTATGTATAATTGAATTGAAAAAACTCCTCTCAATGACTTTATTGGGTTGATCACATTATTAGCTCAATCAGCCTTACTTCAAGTCTTCTTTTATTTTAAACCAGAGCATACTTGGGGAAGTTTAAGATCTTTTGCTACTCTGGAAACAATAAGAACATAATCTTTGGCTGAGAATAAAAAGAGTAATAATTATCTGAAGCCCTGGAAGTTTATGTCTGAGGAGAACGATCTACCCCCTCCAATCAAATGCCACATTAAGTTATGATTAATAAAATTTGACTTCAAAATTATGACATAATGCCATTTTTTCTTGAACGCTGAAAATGAATAATAGTCTGGGCTTCGCCTTCCTTGATATTCAAATTTGCAAGCTGCAAATAGATGCAAGGTGTGGCTGCCTGTAGCCTGGGAAGCTAGTCTTCAGCGTGCTGCTGACGTGGGTTCGCCCTCCGCCTCCATTCCTGCAGCCTCTTCGCCCCTCCCAGCAAGCCTGTGCTGGTGATTCCTTGGACCCTAGAAATGCTGATCTTATCCATTTGAGTAGGGCTAAAGGTCAGGCAGGCATAACGGATTGTTCAAGTGTATCTGACTTGGAGTAGTTAACTATCTTCTCAACAGTTTAACTCCATCGGGGCAACAGAAAACCAGAAATTTTAAATAATTTCAAATGCAATCAAGAATTAAATGTGTTGGTTTAGTTTTCTTTGACCTGTGAGCTGCCTTTCATTCACAGATAAAGAAAACACTGTGGATAATTATTTCATTGTTGTAGAAAGAGGAAGAAAAGGTTTTATACTTTTTCTTAAAACCAGGGAAAAGTTTACTTTTTGTCCACCCCAACCAGTTTCTGTATTTATTGGTTGACATTTTTTATTTTTTCATTTAAGTTTTAGTTGAAGTAACCAGCTTAATTTCTCAGTAGTTATAATCTACCTAGCTTTATATCTCTTTTTCCTAACTTAGTAATATTAGTATTTTTCCCAGATTTTTATTATGAAAAATGTCAAACGTAAAGACAGTTATCTTGCAGAATAATGGCCCATATTCTGGATTTGTCTGCTTGTTTCTTGATTAATATAAGAACTTTTAATCAATGTAGTCTTCATGATTTAGGTCTGTTTGGTGAGAATAATTTGTATACTTGTGTCATGGCAATTAATAATTACTAATATTGACCTGGTTCCTTTGCATTGTGTTACTGAATATGATCTTAATGGAGAGATCGTATAAAGAATGGCTCTGAGTACGGGATCCTAATTTTAGAATATCTGTGTTCTCTCTCCATTTCTAACAAAGATTTCCTCTATGGCTTTGAATGAGTTACACAACCATTCTCCCTGTGCTATAAAACAAGCAGAATTGCCTTCCTTGTTTAAAGTTCAGTGGATTTACTGACTGGTGTTTATAAAGCCCATGGAAGATGTAAAGCTTGGCTAAAATGGTAACAATTAGCAAAATGATTGTGATACTCTTTTGGTCCTTTCAAATAAGCTTTCATTTAGCCTAAGTGTTCTATCCTCAGCAGACATTTCTTGTCTCATATTTACATTTAGATCTGAAAGAGAGGGAAACTAACCTTAAATGTCTACTGTGTGGTAAGCGCTGTGCTAGATTCTTCAAATGCATCTTCTCATTTAATTTTTAAGCCTCCACCTAACCTATGAAATATATCAGTTCCTATTTTTATTTTACAGACAAGGAAACCAAGGATCAGAGATGTGTAGTAACTTATTCTGTATTATAAACATAGTAAGTGCCAGAGCCAGGCTGTGAACCCAGATCTTTGTAAATTTTCTAAGTTGAGCTTTATGTAAGAACTCTTCTGAATACTATGTCACTGAAGAAAATCTCTCCAAAAAAAGTTGGTAGCTACTAATGAAGAATTTACACCATCTTCTGACCAGAAACATTTAATATGTAGACAATGTTTTTTAAGTATATTAATTTTCCAGTTATATTACATCCCCTGTCACTGACTCTGTTCTAGGATGTTGGCAAAGGATGAACTGATGACCATACTTGAAAAATGTTTCAAGGTTTTTAAGTCCTCTTCTGAAAAGCAGCTTGGCAGCACAGCAAAGAAAATAGAGGAGCTCCTGGCCCAGTTTCAGAGCCTTGATGGTGAGAATATAATATCTTGCCAATTCTACTAGCTATGACAGTCATTTAACTAAAATAACATGGAAACCCCCACATTCTGATGTGTTGAGAGTTGAAGAGATAAAGTAGTTCATGAGCAGTCAGTATAACAAGACTGAGAATATCACCTCTTCATAGTCACAGTAAGCCAAATGGTTCTCTTCTAGATATGGTTTCAATGATGAAAAGCATCAAATGGGCAGGAAAAAAAAAATGGCAACAAAACGAAATTAGAAAGATTGGAGAGAGTAGCAGGGCATCATAATTAAGGACTCCTTTTGGATGTTTTTTCTTAAGCATTTCATCAAGTTCTTTATAGATTTCAAAAACAATGCATAAATCATTTGTAACCCTGAAAAATTAATAGCTTGAACTGCTTTCACAGCACTGAGGCTCATTGCTATGCTGATTACCAAAATATGCATGAGGTTTGCTTTAATCAGATTTACAAAGGCTTGACTCTCTCAGTCCTAAATGAACTGAGGCAGCCTGGCATTCCTCACTGTTGGAGGGCTACAGTTTCCTTTAATTTGCACGACCTCCACACAATCATTTGTATCCTGATTGTGCACACGTAGCCATGTTCTGTTCTCGAATGCTTCAGGACTTCTTTGTTGTAATGGGGCACCATGGATTGATACTGATCATTAACTTTTCATGGGCTCTTCTCTTGCTTTATTTCTAGCATCAAAATATGATATTCTTCTGGTAAAACAGACAAAATGAGTGTGCACCTTTTATTTTCCCCCAGTTAGGGAAATGTTTTAACAGAGTTTGGGGAAAAGAGGCAGCATGGTGTGTAAGCACACAGATTGGACATGGCATGATGAAACATTTCACTTGGAATGTCTATATCCTTTTCTATGTTTGGCAAGTGTTCCTTTGTCTTGAAAATCCTTTGGATTTAGGAAAGCGCTTTTGCTGAAATGCCTCCGTATCTCTCCATTGTTGCAGTGCTAGGCACCTGATGAGTGCTGAGTCAATGGAAGGCGAAAGAGAAAGGTTGCTTGACTCTTAGAGTGGCAGGAGCAGCTAGTATGAAGTACTCTACAGTACAAAGGGGTTCCCTCCGAATTATGTGTAGGCATTGCTCCTTTGCACTAGAGCCTGAGCTGAACCATTTTTCAAGTCATAAAAATTGTAAAGGGCTGGAAATTCATATCATAGAGATCACTGAGGACAGCTACAAACAGAAATTAAAGCCCAGGAAGAGAAAGTAACTTGCTCCAGATCACAGCGAACTAGTGGTGGCACCCAGACTAGAGCCCACCTCTCTTAACCACCAGCTCATTGTTTTTTTCCTCTGATTCACAATTTAAATGTCCCCCTAATTGTGGTCATTGGGATAGTCAGGGGCCACCACTGAGGACATAAATAGGCTAAAAGAGTTAGAGGAATATCAGATAAATTAGGTAAATTTCAATCTTTTACAAAATTGGACTCGGGGATTTTTGTAAAATGAAATTGCAGATATAATTTTAATTGAAGTTTATGTAACATAAGGTAGAGAACAAATTCTGTGATGTTCTAATATTAAATAGAGGAATGCTGCTTTTAGAAATGGGAAGGCTGGAGATTAAGTGACACATTGTCAATAATAAAGTGAAATTAAACTGCTACACTGGACAAGTAGAAATATTTGACTATATGCTAGCTCTGGTTCCTTAACACTTACTACATATTACAGTCTGGGTTTAAAATTACATTTGGAGGGTTAAGTAAGCCAGACTGTCATATCAGATTTATTTTTAAGGCTTTGCTACATGTTAATGAAATGGGACAAAGAATTTATTAGATATTTTAACCTTCAGTTATATCTTTCTTGAACCAAGAATTATCCATGGCTAAAAAGAAATTTATTCTTTGAGAACAATGCAGATTCTCCAGCCTCATCCCTCTGTCTTAGATTTAGGCCAAATCAGTCATGTGAGTGTAAGGTTCCTTAAACCTGCCCTGCCCTGGAAGGAGGATATTAGGGCCTCATGCTCTCTAGAAGCACAGCTACACCTTCTGCCAGGTTTGACCTTCTGTTCTCGTCACTGAAGAACCATGATGCACTTTGCATCTTAGAAGAATATTTCAAAACTTTTACACCTTACCCTCTTCATACTCAAATAGCATTGTGTCAAAAAATAGTGAATTGGAAGATCGAGGCCAAGTTTGCCAGGGTGTATTGTGTTGTTTACAATCTTGGCATAGTCAAAGGAATACAATTTAAATCTATTTATTTGTTTTTTAAAAGCTATTTATAACAGCACAAAGATTGGAGCTTTTTGCTGTTGGTTTGGGGGTTTTGTTTGTATTTTGTTTTGTTTTCATTGTGGTCACATTTTAAAAAATTCAGTACCTAGTATTTTGAAGACTTCTCTGCAGCATAACCTACATAGTATTTATTGACCTTTGGCTTCTGGAAAAAATCATTTATCTGATGGAACCTTGATCCCTTGAAACATTAAAAAAAAAGATGAGACTTTATTTCCCTTGAGTAGTAGAAATGTTTGTTCTCTTGACTTGAATGGATATACCCTAGTAAATGGATATTGGTTTGTGTATTAAAAGCAGAAGCCAAAGAGGAAGAAGATACTTCTGGGTCACACTCAAAGGGGCTTCAGAAGACAGACCTCTATCATCTTCAGAAGGTCAGGTTACTTTCTTTTCCTTGCAACATCCTGTGATGCTTGCAACATCCTGTGATGTTCCCTTTTTTCTGTGTGTGCTCTAGATTAGTGCTACTTGGATGTTGTTTTCATTTTTAAACTACAACCAGGAACAAAGCAGACTTTGTAACTCACTTATAAATTGAACATACTGTTTATCCCACTGCCATTCCCATTTTCCATGTATGCTAGCTAAGTTACTAGCTTACATAGGTGGAAACTGTTCCTGTAGCCTGAGAGAAAGAGAATTAACTAGCAATAAGGGAAAATGGGAACATGGCTGCAAAAAAGTAATCTGATTATCGGATGTATTTGTTTTCCTGTTTGATCAAACTGAGAGCTCCAAAAGAGCCTAACACACTAGTTTTAGATATTTTTGATTTTTTTAAATGTGTATCCAGTATACAGCAGAAATTGAGCCACAGTGTATATCCAATATAATCTTTTTGAAATAGTTCTAACTTGGATCTTGGTTGTCAAAGTAAAGAACCTTGTTTGTACCATCATAACAAGTTATGATAAATGTAGAGTAAAATTTCAATCTAAGCAAAACAAAACATATGGAGTCTATTCTGTTAGTATGGCAGAAGGGCAAGGGTTTTTTTTTTTCCTTCTGAGTCTTTTTCTTAAATGAAGTAACAGGTTGTGGATAATGAGCACTCTGCCATATAACTTAGTAATGAAGTGAAATGCCCTTTTCCTCTTTCTCTGAAAATTCACTTGATGTATATCTGAAGCAAAGGCCTAGGAGGAGAGATTCTTTCCAGACCTCAAAAATAAAAGATAAGGGGCTGGCTCCGTGGCCGAGTGGTTAAGTTCGTGTGCTCCGCTGCGGCAGCCCAGGGTTCAGATCCTGGGCGCGGACATGGCATCGCTCGTCAGGCCATGTTGAGGTGGTGTCCCACATCCCACAACTAGAAGGACCTGCAACTAAGATATACAACTGTGTATCAGGGGGGTTTGGGAAATAAAGCAGAAATAAATAAATAAATAAATAATAAAAGATAAGAGGCCAGCCTGGTGGTATAGTGGTTAAGTTCACAGGCTCCACTTCAGCAGCCCAGGGTTAATGGGTTTGGATCCCGGGGGCAGACCTACATGCTGCGCATCAAGCCATGCTGTGGTGGCACCCCACATACAAAACAGAGGAAGATTGGCACAGATGTTAGCTCAGGGACAATCTTCCTCACCAAAAAAAAAAAAAAAAAAAAAAAGAAATTTAAGCACAATCCATTTTGATCTGGTTCTTTCTCTGCACATTATGTTTTATGGAAAGGGCATCAACTGCCTCTGCCTAAGCAACAGAGCTCCCTTTTGAGGGGTATTCTGTCTCAGAATCACCAGAAAAGGTATGTTCTTTCATCCATAGTCCTTATTGGAAATGAAGGAGTTAAGAAGAACCAGTAAGAAACAGACCAAGTTTGAAGTACTCAGAGAAAAAGTTGTGAACTTCATTGACAGTCTGGTGAGGTGAGTCTGTTGCTCTTAAGAGCTAAAAAGCAGGCTATCTTCCCAAAAAGCACTGGTGTGATAGCTGTCCACAGCCACTCTAGGACGCTTTCTCCTATATTAGGCTTTATGCTTCTCAGCTTCCTCCGTCCAGTTTAGAATTGTAGTGTTGATTATTTTCCAGCCTTATTAGGATGTCTAATCAAATGACTTAGTTCATTCTTTTACTGACACTTCAAGAACACAGGTTTAAACTTGATCTAGTTCATTAGGCTGGGGCAGAGAGTCGGGTTGGGGGTGGAAACAAAAACTGTCTCCTTTCTAATAACAAGTGTTTGCATTTCCTTTTATCCTTGCTCTATCTTTGCTGGGAGTATGCTGGATCTGTGCCAAGCCAAGAAAACAGAGAGAGCAAACTAGCCGTAATGCCCTGTTTTATCCTGAGTAAAGGACTTCTAATTCTGAAGAACACCAGCCCAACTCATTATCAGGACTACATTCATGTTGAGAAATGTACTCATAGTCAATTTAGAAATCCACTAGTCCTGCCTATATTTTAAGATGATTCCATTTTGGGAAACCTAGATCATTCTGATTCATGGATATCCCAAAAGCCAGCCCTATGTAGCTGTGTAAAATCACCCACCTAAGCTGCCTGTCAGGCAATTGGAACATACCATAGGAAAAAAAAAATGAGAAGTGTGAAAAATAAAAGTAGGAAATAACTGTTATTTATCATTGCTTATTCTGTTTTTTAATGGCAGTTCAAACTCAACAGCAGGCTAGGCACTAGTACTAAGAAAACAGCAGCTCAGTTATTGAAGACAGAATGGTTTTCTGATAAATTACCTATCCTTGAAAGTGAAAAGTTCCATTTTGCAGGACAATGTGGGGGCAGAGTCATTGTTCCTAGTCATTGGGGAGAAATTACTAATGCCATGAAAGAGGTCCAAATGACCAACCAAGTGTAACAAAAGGAAGGTTAAAGTCAGAGAACTGTGTCATATAAAAGTGATGCAATGCAATATTGAACTGACCTACTGGCCAGAAATGACCTTTTAGAACTCATACAGTTAACCTTGTCTTTGGTGTTCTTGTAGTTTCTAGACCCAAGTTCCTGGCTCTTTCCTTTCACCAAGTTGTGACTATTGTAGTTGGTAAAAATAATTTTGCCATGTAATTTAGCATAATTTATAGGCCAAATGTCAGGTTCCTTTCTGAGTTCCCACAAATCCCAAATTGTAGGCTCTGAAGCCAAACCAACCATTCCCCTTTTGTGACCTTTCACCTAATATGTCTCACTTTTTACCTTTCTGAGCAGTTAATGAAACAAAACTGAGCATGATTGAAATGTGTTGTGTTGGGGAATCATAAAATTTTCCATACTAGGATTTACTGTCTTTACCAAGATTGACTATCTCAGAAGGGAAGAGATAGGTTTGTAGCATGTTAGAGCTAAAAGGGACCTGAGGAGTCATGTGGCAGCTAAAGTCCTGAGAGAGGCTATGACTTGTGGAAAGTCACAGTCCCAGTTTGCTGACATCTGTCAAAAGGCCCTCTCGATTTCTCCACACTGTCCCCAAGGACCACATCACAGATGTTTGACCAGATCTTGGAGTTCTGGAGAAAAGATGTCCTTTAAAGATAAACATAAGCACTAGGCTCCAGGAGGCGGGGTTCCCAGTATACCATGAACAGCTCTTGCTGAAACTACTGAGAGCAGAGAATAAGTTGCCACTTTGTAAGTTACTGTTTTCACCAAAATACAAGCTTCAACTCTGTAGCCTTTGTTGTTATTAAGTGGTCCTCCCAGTTCCCTCCAAAGCACCTCTCTTTTGCTTGTGAACTCAGATCTGAATTCAAAATGAGCATCATCCAATGCTCTAGTACGAGACTCACTGCTTATTTCTTCTCACAGCAAATAAGATACAGAAGTATATTTTTATGCCAATCTCCAAGTTTGCAGTTAGACAAAAAATTCTAATGTATGATTTGTTACTGTTGTTCAACTAATGTAGCCCAGTGGAAACCAAATACAGGCAAATATTTTGCCTGTGATGGAAGTTCTTTGAGGATATCCAAAGGCTTTTTGCCTTGGGAATTGCCTAAATTTCTAAACATTAAAGATGTGAAAAAGGGAGAGGAGTACAAATATGAAAGAATAGTTTCTTTGAAATTGACTCTATCTGGTTGCCTTGTTAGATTTCCAGTCCTTATTATATTGCAAGGACTTCAGTAGTGTCTTTTAATGGCAGTTATGTATAACGAGTGGGGAAAAGAGCCTGAGGTTGGTGTAGGAAGAGTTTGTGGTCAGAAATTACAGATGGGCAGCCAGCCATTCAGGGTGGCAGCCAGCATCACCCATTCCTGAAGTTACAGCTAAATTAACTTAACCTTGAGTATGATGTTAGTAGTACTTGAGGTGTAGAATTCTGGTCTTTAGGGCCAAGTCAAAATCATACCCTTTTTGCAAATGAGTTTTATTCCAATTGACTCTGGAGAAGGTGCTGCATCTAGAACTGGAATGAGCAGAGGGCCAGGAGCTCTTGAGACTGGGAGAAGGGAGATGGTGATGAGTGATGTAAATGGTTAATATGCTCTTCACTTCCTCTCTTCCTCAAAGCGACTGACGGCACAGGTGAAGCAGGTGTAGTGGGATTTTCTAGGCAGTGTTATCCTCTCCAGCAGGGAGAAAGCCAGGACACCAGGAAGAAGAGGGGTAATTTTCCTGGTGGCTAGGCTGAGGTAGCTGCTTTGTTCTGCCTGCCCTGGTGGGAAAAGGAGCTGCCACAAATCTGTCATGTGGCCAAAATACTTTACGCCCAGGACTGTACTAAGCCCCAGGAATCTTTATGAAGGCATGTGAGTTAACTACTTTAATCAAGTTAGTGACTTATTACTCTGTCTTTGGGTTGTGTGTGCCAAAGCTTCCGCCTTCCAATTTACTACCTTCCAGGCCACTGAAGGGCAATGTTACTGTCATAGCACAGACCAGCTGATGGGCTCATTATAAATTTAAAGTGAACTTTTTAATGCTTTATTTTTTAAGTTCAGATTTCATTAAAATTGGTTTGTCATCTACCTCATAAATAAGGCAAAAATCTCAAGTTACAATGGCTATTTAACAACTGAAATTTTAATAACGAACAATGTGTTTGTTTTTCAATACTCTGAAGCTAAAATTCAGCCTTTTCTGCCTTCTAAAGTAAAAAAGTAATTCAACATATAAAAAACTTTCAGGGTATCATTTCTATAAGAGATATCACTTAAAACATTTTCTGTGATCCAGAAAGAATTTCCTAAACTCTTAATTCCAGGTCTGAGGCCTGTGTTTAACACTGCCAAGAATTAAATGTTATGGTAAAGAATGTGGATATCTCAGTTTTCTAAATAATTTACTTTATGAAAGTATTCATTCATACTTTAAGAAATTCTACCTTAAAGATCTTAAACAGAAAAGTAATTTATGCACATTTGTTCCAAAAGGTTTAAATCAGAACTGAAATACATACTTTTTTGTACTCTAAGGAGTCTGAAAATTTTTAAAAATACTATATGGAAGAGGTACAGTTCTGAGTTAATCTACACTGGATTTGATATTTGGGTTTTCTTTCATTTGTTTTTGGTCTTTGTTGATTTTGCTCTTTAAGTAAATTAATTGCTCAGTCTTCCACAGAGGATTGACAAAAATATTATATTGAAAATAAACCTGTGCTTATCTAAAAGCTGACACTTAACTTGGGCTGTTCCAGAGAGTATCTTCTGCCCCCAGACACACAGCCTCTGCACGAGGCGGTGTACTTCAGTGCCGCCCACACGCTTCGTGAGCACCTGAATGCTGCTCCGCGAGTAGCCCTTCACACCGCACTCAACAATCCTTATTATTATCTCAAGGTAAGGAGCAGACTCATTTTTCGGAGAGTTTAGTTCAGACCCAAGACTTCTTTATCACAAGAATATTGTATATTTGCAGTTCTAAGGAGCAAGGAGTTGGCAGCTCAGGGTCGCATCTCTTTCAGCTATTTTTAAAAATTCTTTAGATTTTTGAGGGCATTTTCTAAGCCAGTGAAGATACCAGTTAGTAGACAACTAATGCTGCCAACTTTTGATCATGTGTAAATGTCTTCCCTTCATGTGATAAAACCAGATCATAGGCATTAAGACTGGAACGTATAATGCTACTAGTACTGTGAAAATTAAGGAAGAGTTTCCTGCAGACATAGCAGTAGATAACGGGTCAAACAATATGGCTTAATGAAATTACTTGAAAGATCCAAATGATGGTTTCTGATGGAAAAAAGAAAAACTTTGGGATTTCATTTTAGATTTTAAACCAAATAAAGATCTACTCCGGGAGATACCTCCAGAGCTGAGTTTAGAGGAGGGCCAGCAGTCTGCCAGGGATGAAACTAAAATCCAGACACATTTGCTAGTTCCAAGAAATTGTTCTTTAAACAGAGTTCAAAACTGTTCAGAATTTTAAAAACTTTCTTATGACCAGGTAAAGTGATCACTTTAAACATTTCAGTAAGCTATATTTCAGTAAGTTATATATACATGAAATAACTTGATATTTTGCTAATAAGTTATCAACTCAGTTAAGCACCTAGAAATCTTGCCATAAATACTTAAGTGACTCCATGAAAAACCTATGAAGAGTGTTCCAACTGGTTTTTTGTTCCAAAATAGCACACAGACCAACATGCTAAGCGTTACAGGGGAATAGTTGGTAGGAAGATATAAATCAACAGTTTTCAATGATGGTGATAGTGGGGAGCTTGAATAATTTCATATTGAAAAGCACAAAATGTCAATTATTTTTATTATATAAACCACAAATTAACTCTGACAAAGTCTTTTTGGCTAGTGGCAGGTCACAGAAGAGGACTCCTGCAGTCCCAGCAGTCTTTGGGAGGATATATTATAATCTCTGAGCATATGTGTGAGAGAGATTCTCTCTCAGTAAGAACCATGGATTTCAAATAGGTTGAAAAAGTGCTGATGGTTTTTGTAGGGGTTAGGATCTGCAGTGCTGTCAACACAGTCTTCTTTGAGAGAACTTATAGCCTTGGTAGTGGTGTGTTGGTATTTATTAATAGAGTAACTGCTAGAATTCACATAATTACAAATGTTGGAAGTGGCATTTTATTGAAAATCCACAAAGAATTCCATAAACTATTTATGGAAAGCGGAAGTGCTTTAGGGTCTTGGAAATTAATAATATATGATTAAAATGAAAAATATGCTTGTCTTCTAATCCTGGGAGTATTCTTCTAGTGAAAAGGAGCTAGGGGGATTATGATCAAGACCTAATCCTAAACAAAAACTAGCTAAATTTTAGAGAGTAAATGCAACCCCCTAAATAAAGCAAACCAAAGACTCCATTTACTGGATTACTAAATTTAGGTTAGGGACTTCATTAATATCTGTTTTTGTTCCTAATGATTTCTAAAGTGTACTCATCTTAAGTTTACTGTGATTTTTAGAACGAAGCACTGAAAAGTGAAGAAGGCTGCATTCCAAATGTTGCCCCCGACATCTGCATAGCATATAAACTGCACCTAGAGTGTAGCAGGCTGATCAACCTCGTGGACTGGTCAGAGGTAGGTCAGGGAGGAGAGAGAGAGCTGTTTACTTGTCTAACCACCCATGACAACTTTCCTGGAATGTTTTTCTATTTTTGGTACTTTGAAACTCTTTTTTTTTTAATGCCCTGTCTTTTGTTTGGAAAACGTAAATCACCTCATACTTCAAAAGTTCCTCCAGAAAAGCAGCTAACTGCTCAACAGTCCCATTCCCAATCATTCTGATCCCACATGCCTCAGCCAAGCCAATCCTGCGTTCATGCCAGGTCAAAGTAAGCGTGTGACCTAACCTCACAGTTAACAATAAGTGAAAACAGTTTAGGTCAGTTCTGTTATTCGACAAAATAAAAAAGTATATTATTAACTAGCATTTCTCTTATTGCATAAAAGAAAAAACATGCATTGGAATAACTACCCAACAGATTTAAGTTGCAATCAGGAAGTACAAGGAATACTTGGCAAGGCAATGGACAGCTGTTGTTACTCTTTACAATAAGTAACTATTCTTCCCCTCCTCAGAAGAATACTGCAAATTTAACTCTGTTGAAGGTCCTATTTGACAGATGTGATGTCATCATATAAAATATGCATAATTGGCTGCTTCCAAGAAAATCAGGCATTTTCCTGGGGTAATGGAGGTTGGGGAGTGCAGGATACAGGGCATCCTTTGCTTTTCAACTTTGACTAGTTTTGTTTCTTGTTTTTCTCTGTATACTTCCTAGTTCTCTGAAATGTAAGAGTATTCAGGAACCATTCCATTGTCTTTTAATGTGTACCTGCTTTAAAGTGATCATCAGTTTTGAGAATCTGAAATTTGGTATAATAAAAAATATGTGCCAGCTATCAGCAGCAGCTGTGCATGACCTGGCTTCACACAGAGCCATCAAAGGCAATAAAGGATGTCTGGCAACAGTAGAGATTTTTATTTTCTTCTGTATTGTCTCTCAAAAGGCTTTTGCAACAGTTGTGACAGCTGCTGAAAAAATGGATGCTAATTCTATAACCTCAGAAGAAAGGAATGAAATTATCCAGTATCCTTTTAAACGACTTCTATAATGTCCAAGTATACATATAGAATATAAGTTTAGTTTCTCCAGATCTACATTAGAGATTTATAAAGACATGCTCCAAGCAACCTTATTACTTACTAATATTAATCATACCATCCCAAAATAACTTGTTTATAAATATTCATTCGGAATTTAGTCTAAAAACAAGACCAAATCTGAAATATTGGTCTAAAACTTACATGAAGGTCATATTCCAAAATTCACCAAAAATGTCCGAAACTGTCACTCAATTTTCTACTTTTCTAAGATTATTAATGTACTTTTCGAATTTGGGGGGTGGGGCAATTTTCACACTATGTGAAAAATTAGAATTAGGTAAGCAAGTGTTAAGCACTTTTCCATTTGTGTCTTATTGACATTGGATTCTAGTATATTTAATGTTTTCCAGGATGGGTTATAGTTTAATTTAGAAGTATATTTTTGAACTATATTTCAGTTTACTAACTAATGTTTTAACATTGAGATTTTAACTTCTTTTTATCAAAAATACAACATGGTGAATTTCCTTAGCTACAGCCTCCAGTGCTCGGTTTATTAGAGCTGTTTCTGAACTAGAACTTTTAGGATTTATAAAACCTACCAAACAGAAGACTGACCATGTGGCAAGGCTAACATGGGGAGGCTGCTAGAAGGCAAATGAATGAAACCAGAAGGATCCCATTTAGCTTAAGAGAAAAAGGAGACCAGCCATATTTACATACCTCTAGAGGAAGACTGTTCTGGAAAGAAATTAAATGTGTAATCCCCATGTGATATTTGACAAGTAGACTGCTAACCCCCAACAGGAATGTATCAAAACACCTTTGGAGTACTTTAGAATCCACTAAATAATTCACTTACATTGTAACCAAAACCTCTCCTGTTACCACTATAATTTTCACAGCCATTACTAAATTATGAATAAATTGTTTTTGAACAAAATAATGTATAAATGTAATAAATTCCTTTATCCAGGAGTATAAATTATTTGCATTTGATTGAATGGTACTCATTCCTGCTCCCCCAGTGTCTTGCACTGGCCTTCCTCACTTTAGTAAACTGTGTCGTAAGTAAGATCAATATCCTACAGGCTTATTTGTTCTAGTAACTACACAGGTTCTAAAACTCTCTCTGTTGTCCCATTCCTTTAGTCTTACAACTTAAAAAGTCCCAGGTTGTTTGACTTTATGCTTAAAGACAGTAAATATTCTCCTTGAGGATGACCCATCATTGAGTATTAGAGCCTGTAAGCTGTTACAAATCGCCTCTCAACTTCATAAGGCTCAGCTGAAATGACAACTAGCTCTCTTCCATAACAAGAACACATCAAGACAATGAAACAAAGATACCTCAAGTTCACTATTTAATATTCTACTTCCAAGAGAATTCTAGGACATGTCTTTATGACTACTCACTAACATACTAAAATTACCATGCAAATATGCCCAGGAGAAAAAAAAAAGTCCAAATTCATATAAACTGTTCTGGGTTCATAAAACTTAGAACTATGTAATTGCAGGCCTTTTTTTGTGCTTTGAGGACAAATTTAATGTATAACTAATTAAGCAAATTTAGTAAGTAATTTAAACCTCGTTAATGCTGGAGTGTAAAGGAGGAACAAAGAGTATCGTAGCTCTCTGACAAACATGATGGGCTGAGATGACATTACTGGATAACTGCTCCCCTCCCCCTCTTCCTGCTCCAAAAACATAAAAATGCTAGATGAAATATATCCCAAAAACAAACTGTCAAAATGTTGCCAGAGTTAAAAAGAAAGGGAAATCCCAAGGTACCAGAAATAATCAACCACAACCCAGAGCAGAAAGTGTCTAGCCCTACAGAGCTTTGAGACAACCACCAGAGTAGTATTAGTTAAGGTATATTAAATGTCTTATCATCATCTAAAAGATGCCAGGATTTCTTATTCAGCAGAATTTAAACACATGTACATATGCACAAAGGGCTGTCAACTTGGAAATTAAGGAATTTATGATATGTAGACAAAAACACCACCACAAGGAAGAAACCGAAGGAGGAAGAGGCTTTTGACACCTGAGAATCCGTGTGTTAAAAGGCAGAGCCTCTGTCATCTTGGGTCCCTGAAGGAGAGCATGGAGCTGAGCCTCTGCCAAATGCATACAATCGAAGCGTAAATTTCTATTATGTGAAGTCTCCATGATTTATCTTCACAGCAACTAGCTCAGTATTTTTTCTCAATATTCTATAGTCATTCCCCAAAATAGTCAAATGTGCCCAAAATGATGTTTCATTTTTGACAATGGTTGGTAAAATCTAGGGAAAGAACGTGTGAATAATTTTAAGGGTTTTCCATTTATTGCCTATTTACTTAAGTGAGGCAATCGGCATCAGGAAAGGTTTTCCAGTACTTTATGTCTTAATATGCACACACTGTCAACATCTACGATGTGATTTCCTCCAGCCTTCAAATGGTGCAGATGAGCACCAGATAAAATTGTGTTTAGAAACCATTTCTTTCAACTACACTCATACAGCAAAATGCTTCACTGTACGGTACTGAGGAACTGTCCTCACACAGACCAGCAGATTCATGTCTGTCTGAGGTGCCCCTAGTAAAGTAAAAGCCCTGCTTTACTTTTTTCTTTTGCTGGGCACTTTGTTGAATTCATGCTACCTAAGCATGTCATGCATTGAACCACTTTAATTTTCCTTACTACCTAAAGATATTAGATAAGAGACCAGCAGAATGGAAACTGTCCTCTTTTCATAGTGAATACCCAAAAGAGCTATAAAATTAAAACATGAAGCTCATTTGTGGTAATCAATGGAGCACCAAACCCTCAAGCCAGGCTATGAAATGTCAGCTTAATTCTGTGTCCATTCCTTAATACAGCAAAACCGCAAGGAAAATACCTTACAATTGGGATAGTCTGATTCACTGAATCTTTTGTTCAATGAAATACTAATCTGAAAACCCTGAAGTATAGTTTGAAATGCATCCAAAAAATATTTACTTAAGCACATTCCATGTCCCAGGCACTGGACCAGGCACTTGTGATTCTTCAGTGAACAAAGATCTTTGCCCTCATTACATTCTAGCAGAGGAAACAGAATAGACAATTATATAGTATGTTATAGAAAAGAAGAACTGGGATGCCATCTTGCAGATTTAAAAACAGGCCTCATTGAGATTACATTTGAACAAAAACTCAAAGTTGGTAAAAGATTTACCCATGAAGTTTTATGGGAGAAGTGCATTGTAAGCAGAGAACAGCAATAACCCCTTGGCTGGAGGAACAGCAAGAGCCGCCAGTGTGGGGGAGGCAGAGGGAGCAAAAGGGAGACTAGAAAGTGAATGAGGTGGAGTGGAGTGCAGTGCAGGTAATTTAGGGCCCTAACGACAGACCACTGTAAGGTCTTTGGCCTTTTACTTAGGTAGGAAGCCATCTAAGTAAACCACTTAGATCTTTAAAGGATCACCGACTGTGATGAGAAGAGACTTGGATAGGTGAGGAGACATAAATGAAGCAAAACAAAGACCACTGAGGAGATCAGTGAAATCTTCCAGGCAAGACATGATAGCATCTTGGATGAGGGTAAGAGTAGACATGGCGAGATTTTAGATGGAAGCAAGATTAGAAGGAATTCAAGACTGTTTTTTGGCTGAGAATCTTGAAGAATGAAGATGCCATTAACTGACTGGGGTTGATTAGGAGGAAAAGGTTAAGAGGCAAAAATAAGAGTGGTTTTCAACATAAGTTTTAAGACCTCCATTAGATGTCCAAGTGGAAATGTCACATAGGGAGGTAAACAGAATCTGATGTCTTTAGGATTAGATGACATCACAAAAGTGAGTATGAACAGAGGAAGCAAGGAGCCCAAGGTCAAACTCTGAGGCATACCTTTGTTGTAAAGTTCAGAGAAATGAATGACTGGACCAGCAGCAAAAAAGGAGCAGTTTTACAAAGGAACCAGATAACTGAGAAGGAGCAGCCAGTAAAGTAGGAGGAAAATCAGGCAAGTGTGGTAACTTGCAAACTAACTGAAGAAAGCATTTCAAAGTCATGTTGATTCGATTCAGCAATGTGGAAATCATTGGTGACTAATAAGAGGAGCAGTGAAGACAAAGCCTGACAGGCATCACCTATCAGATGACCTAACAAGTGTCCAAACTTATCACTAGTCTAGGAAAGCCATACATTGTATGATGTAATATGGAGACCATAATATCCTCTTGCACAAAACATTTAACCTGAAACTAATAAAACTATAAACCTAATTTCAGTTTACAGGAAGTTCAAAAGGATAGAAAAGGTTAAATTAATGACACCACAAAGAAACATTCTACAAGACAGTAATTCTAATTATTCCACAAAGTCAGAATCTTGATTGAATCCTACTTAGCAAGAAAAAAAGCGGCAAAAGACATTTTGGGGACAAATGGGAAAATATGAATATAGACTAAATGTTAAAAATTAGCGAAGTATTATTTTAAATAAGATAACGGTATCAAAGTATATTTATGTAGAACCACCTTATTCTTAGGAGGTGCATCATGTATACAGTAGTCCTCCCCTATCTGCAGTTTCACTTTCTGTGGTTCCAGTTACCCACGGTCAACCTCAGTCTGAAAAAAGTGGAAAACTCAAGAAACAGATAATTCATAAATTTTAAATTGCCATGCCATTCTGAACAAGGTGATGAAATCTCTCACTGTCCGCTCCATCCATCCGGGACTTGAATCATCCCTTTGTCTATCATATCCACACTGTATATGCTACCCACCCCAGCAGTCATTGAGTAGCTGTCTCAGTTATCAGATCAACTGTCATAGTATCACAGTGTTTGTGTTCAAGTAACCTTTATTTTACTTAATAATGACCCCAAAGACAAGAGTTGTGATGCTGGCAATTCAGATATTCTCTTACTGTGCCTTACTTATAAACTAAACTTTATCATAGGTATGTATGAATAGGAGAAAACATAGTATACCTAGGGTTCAGTACCATCCATGGTTTCAGGCATCCACGGGGGGTCTTGGAACGTATCCCCTGCAGATGAGGAGGGACTACTGCACATTTTTTTTAAGAGTTAAAAAATATATACATATAAAGCAAATATGGCAACATAATAATTGTTCATTTTAAGTGAATCGCTGGACTGTTCTTTCAGCTTTTCCATTTGAAGTTTTTTCTTAATAAAAGAAGTTGGAAAAAAAGGGAAACAGGAAGATTAGAAGTTCAGAAAATTCTTGAGTTTTCTATAAAGATTACAGAGCAGAAAAATAGGATAATAGCTAGAGAGGGATTATAAAAGCAGAAGATTTTTAATACTATGTTTATTATGCTTATGGGAATGATCGAACTAGCAAAGATAAAGAAAATGGATGCGAGAGAGAGAGAGAGGACTGCTGGAACTGTGTCTAGACAGGGTTGGAGCTAATGCTCCCTACCCAGGGCAAACGCGGGAGTAGAGGACTGCTGGAGCCATGCCCGTGAGCTAGAGGGGCAGGCTACTAGGTGCTTTAGCAGAACACTCACTTAGAATACCACTTACTAATTTTGAAGCAAGTGAGTAAAAAGAACCCAAATAAGCCAAAGACAATTATTTCCAACCCTAGCTGCTTGGATCATCTAGGGAGCATAATAAACCGATTCCAACAGTCCTCCCCTCCTCCCAATTTTATAAGGCAATCTCTGGGGGGTAAAACCTGGAAATCTTCCCTAAAAGCCCTCCCGTTAATATTGCTGATACAATAACATCTCATTTGGAAACTATTTTCTTTTAGGGAGGTAAGTTGTTGCCGTAGGCCAAAGATATCTTTGATATTTTAAACCTCCACTATTTATTTTTCTCAGATTACCTATGCCTATTTTTCCTCAAAAATGCACAGCATTATACCTAGCCATGTGCCCCTGTTAATCAGGGATTTATTGGACACATTACAGCAACCTAACCGCATGCAGCACAACCACTGCCTTTTATTAAAAGAAAGCTGACTGTTAGCA